ATACCCACATGAGGTAATTTGGTATTTTTTGCTGTATAAAATATATGCTCTGTTATATTACATTGAGCTCTCTATGGATCAGTTTCAATATCTGATATTACTAGGACCCACATGAATTATATACCAACGAATCAATTGGGTCGGCCTTTGCTTAGGTACAGTGACAGGCTGAAGAGTAACCTCTTAGCTGCGAATATAAATCACGCTACGTTTGAGAACATCGTAATTGATCGTAATGAATGGAAGATTACATGCCACAATGGCATCAAGAACAAGGCAGCATCAAACATTGTCAAACTTCGTCAAACTAGGGAAAGGAATAAAATATCTGCTGCTGTTCCAGCCATATACTCCAAGAATCCACACTCTTGCACAATCTGTGGACTTCTTTGCAAATCACTAGCAGGACTCAAATGTCACTTGCGACTCAAACACAGGGTTAAATAAACAAAGTTGTTGGAACCTCATACGTCGAAACCGACGGGAGAGTCCATCACACACACACACACACATATATATATATATATATATATATATATATATATATATATATATATATATATATTCAGGACTAAGACTAATATTTATCTATCAATCTATCGCTGTTTATAATGTATTTTAGGTGGTATGAGAAATAGTTTTAGTCTATAATATAAACATTTAAGATTTAAAAGTGGCGTTTCTCAAAGTTTTATTCTAATATCAATTGCACATGCATATATATATATATATATATATACTCACACATATTTTATTGGATATGCAGTTATGCATGGAAGTACCCATTCATATTAGAGCGTATATATACATGCATAATTAGAAAACTGTACATACACACAAACATACGCTGACATATTCTATCCAACATATTCATATTCAGATCTCTGCGAAGACACAAATATATGTAATCACGTACACGCGCACACACACACACACACACACACGCACACACACAGTCTCTCTCTCTCTCTCACACACACTGACTTTCATATATGCATATATAAAAACACGTAAATACCCATATATACTTTCCACAGACTCACGCTCACTTCTGCAGTTGCTTGCATGCATGTACATAGATTGGAAGACATAGGAATTATTTTATTTCTGTAATTATTTGTCCTTCTTTTTAGAAGGGCGTAGGGCCGTCAAACCGGAAGTTTATCGTCATTAGACCAATCATATATATATATATATATATATATATATATATATATATATATATATATATATATTTAAGGTGTTTAAGGTGTTCTATATTTATGGGATAAACTGCTCAATATCAGAGATAGAGCGTATGTAAATATAAAAGTAAAACATTGAAATCAACACTCAGAGCCGACAGACTGTTTCATTCAAAAAGTTATCATCATGTCCATCACACACACACACACACACACACACACATACATATATATGTTTATGCGTTCTTTTTATAAATACAAATATTTAAGTAAATATACCTATCTATATATATATATTATATTTATTATATAAATAAATGTATCGATAAAATGAACGTATAAACATGAAAAAAATGTCTTTAAATTATTGTCGGACTTTGTCCATTTCATTATATATATATATATATATATATATATATATATATATATATATATATATATATATATGAGCGGCACCGTGGTAAAAGGTATAGCGATTCGGATTCAGATCGAATTCCAGTTGAATCCATGCTAATACCCTAGGGAAAGCTATGAATCTTCTACTTACCCACGCCTCGCTATGGGTTAATAGCCTTGGGTGGCAACTGCTCCAAGAGAAGGACAACTCTAAATTCAAAACCTAGCATGCTGTACTGCTTGGCATTTGAACCGGAAGCCCAATACATACATTCCAGTGTGTTTGTGTGTCAAACTGAGGACAGTGTAGTGGATTCGTTAAGAATTGGATGAGTCTAACGAAGTTGTTTTGAGGGTTCATTACTGATGATGACATTATGCCTCCACTAATCTTCCCACAAGGCCTCGGGTTCAAAACGAGGGCCTACATCATGCCTTGAAGAGATACTGCTGCCTTGGTGGGGGGGGGAGGCTGCTGGAAGACCCTATGTCTGGCAACAGGAATCGTCACTATGTCACACAGACAGGAGAACCCAATCATAGCTGCTAGACAATATATTCACTGCTTACAACTGGTCACCTAACTGCAACTTGATTATTATGTGCGGGCCGAGACACCAATAAAATTTCTTGTAACACCAACTGAAACATTATAGCAGCATTTATCAAATTAAACAAGGAAACCGTCCAGAAGAGTTGCAGGAGATTCCGAAGTCGTCTGGAGACCGTGGTTGAAAACGGAGGTAAATTTATTGAATAAAACTACTCTTTAGTATTTTAAGATATTTTTGTGTAATGTTGGTAAATATATCTGTTAAAATGGGATGTCAGTCTTATTTTAATTTTTTCTGTAATTTAGACGGCATATTAGACATAAAAAATATATATATATATATATATATATATATATATATATATATATATATATATATATATATTTGCTGTAACTAAACAAGGCTGGAGAACCGGAAGTGCCCCTTGACGCCATTATGTGCGTCCCTCTTGGGAGTGGGTTCCGCCATATTTATTGAGGACAAATATAAAGAACGTGGACAAGGAGTGTTGGGCCATTTCGGTTGACGTGTGGTCTCGCAAGTTATTACACACAAACAAACATACACACACGCGCATACACCACACGCAAACACACACACACACACACAATATATATATATATATATATATATATATATATATATATATATATATATATGAGAAAGAACAAATGGAGGAAAAAACCAAAATACGTAACATTTAATTTTTAGAAAGTGCTCAATACAAAGTAGAGCAAAATATTATTATAATATTTTTACTATACGAGTTTATGATAACAACATTTTATACCGCTAAACAAAAGCTTTCATGTTTCAATACTATAAGTGTACTTCCTCAGGCTATGGTTGGTAACTCGCGATAAAAGATGATTTTTTTCTGGAAATTTAAAAACAAAACATTACCACTTTTTCGAAAGTTAAACTTAAGGTCAGAATTAATAACTTATGACCCGCTAATGATTTACAAAGGAGGCCACATATGGAGCAAGAGTGGGGATTGTTAGATGAGGTTACCATAAGATTGACTGACCTTTTAGATCTCGCTCCTTGAAGCTGATTCAGACAAGCAGATTGGACACTGCTGAGCCCACTAAAACACGTTGATCTCCATTCTACCCTCTCCAAGGCTAAGCGCTCAATGGTGTTATGTGGTATATTGACAGTTGACGCATATATATATATATATATATATATATATATAACAAGAGCCAGATCAAACCAAAAATTGAATATTACTGACATATCTCCCTATTCTATCATAATTTCTATGGCAAGTGTTATGCTGAACTATATTCCTTGATTTCACGAGTGCTAAACCGTGCAGATAGAAACGACAGTTATGTGCCATGTGCGATACAAACTTAGGCGATCATGTATCTTTTGATACATGACTGACGAGGCAGATTTTTTCCGCAGTAGGTTGCCATTTCTTTCTGCGGTAGACCAGTTGCCATCCAAGGCTATAGAACCCGGTCTGTCCTGCTATTTACCCATAGGTGGAGGGAGAAGAAGAAGATTCATACCTTTCCCAAGAGTATTAGCACGTAAGTGAATATCAGTCAGTTATGTGCCATGCGTGATACACGCTTAGGCGATCATGTATCTTTTGATACTTGACTGACGATGCAGATTTTTTTTTCTACAGTAGGTCGACAGTTCTTTTGGGAGAGGTATGAATCCACTTTTCTCCCCCCAGCTATGTGTAAATAGCAGGACAGACCGCGTTCTATAGCGTTGGATGGCAACTGATCTACCGCAGATAGAAATGGCAACCGACTGCGGGAAAAATCTGCCTCGTCAGTCATGTATCGAAAGATACATGATCGCCTAAGCGTGTATCACGCGTGGCACATAACAGACTAACACCAAACATCACATTTAGCCGAAAATATGGCGTACTTACAGGTATATGACATTCTTTATCGTAATGTGCTATATATATTTATATCTATTTACTGTATTGATTTATAATTGTTCGTTCTTTTCTTTTGATAGGCTTTTTTTAAAAATCTATTCTGCATATATTATATTTTACATCATATATTACTGTAAGATGATAAGCACATTTTACTACAGCAAAAATTTTAAGCTTTCAATTTCGCTTTTAATGATCATTATATTTTCTTAAAGGGATGAACTAGATTTTATCTTACTGTTAAATACGAATTTAAATAATTAGGTGCTATTCTTTACCCAAATACACTCAAATATTTTTTTAAAATACTATTTTCAATAAACAACTATTGAAATGAGAAAATTTAACTTTAAATTTAGATTTAGTAACTTAATCACTTGAAATTCAGTGGTGATTATTAGTTCTATTCTACCTTATAATACTGCTAATTAAAATACTTAAAGTATTGCTTGGTACTATTTTTACTTGTAATTCTTCGGGGAAATGTTCGTCTCCCAAATGTCTGTCGGCCAAATGTCTCTCGGCCACGACCATAGTAAATATGTCAACATTTTTACTCAAATTGTTTTTATTTAATTTTTTAAAAATTTGCATTTCTACTTTCTAAAATGGTAGATCTTAATCTATTGAGTAGACTCCAATCGCAGAAAGTGGTTTGTCATTCGGGTTTCTGATTAATGTCTCATTCGATTCTCGTCTTTTCACATCGAATACGAAATTAATTGTTCGATATTTGTCTGTTCGCCTATATTTTTTTAAACAATGCCTTCTTTAAACGTTCTAACAAGAAGCGTGAGTTTAGAATGATAAACCATTTACCTAAATCGCTCATGGACATATTTGTGAGCTACAGATAGATCAATAGATAAATAAATTGATATTAACATACATACAGACAGATATATAGATAGATAGATAGATAAGAACAGGCCGAGATATAAACAGACCGAGCTAGATAGATAGATAAATAATGAACTGATTGAGATAGATAGATAGATAGATAATCAGAATGAGATATAAACAGACTGAGATAGATAGATAGATAGATAGATAGATAGATAGATAAGAACAGACGTAGATATAAACAGACCGACGTAGAGAGACAGAGATAAATAGATTGATAATGAACAGAGATAGATAGATAGATAGATAGATAGATAGATAGATAGATAGATAGATAGATAGATAGATAGATAGATAGATAGATAGATAAAGAACAGACCGATATATAAACAGACCGATATAGGTAAATAGATAGATAATAAACTGATTGAGATAGATAGATAGATAGATAGATAGATAGATAGATAGATAGATAGATAGATAGATAGATAGATAAAGAGAGAGGGAGAGACAGTGAGAGAGATAAGTAGAATGAGATTTAAGCAGACCGAAATATATATATATATATATATATATATAGATAGATAGATAGATAGATAGATAGATAGATGGAACACGCTCCAGCTGTAATCGTCCGTTTGCAAACCTTTACACTAATACAGAAAACTCATTTATGAAGTTGTTTATCTTTTGTCACAAGCTCAAACTCGTGTGACGTTCGTTGAAGGGAGATATTTTAACAATTATGCGAGTGATGTTGCTGGGAATGTCTTGCTTGTACTGTAAGGTGATCGATCTTCACAATGGCTTCAAGAACAGTGGATTGGACTAGACTAACCTTACCTTAGTCAATCTTTCTGGAGGTCTGTAATTCTAAGGCCTGCAAATGTTTTTATTCCTTTTCCTTATACATTTATGATTACGTGAACGTTTTCGTTATATATCAAGCAAATTCTTTTTAAATACTTGATGATTTTTTTGTACCAAGTCACTATGCTCAAACGCTCAGTCACGATGACTTGTGACTTCGTTCCAGCACAAACTAACGATGGTTCCCAGAACAGTTCCTGCTACGCGAAATATGGTGCGGTTTTTTCCGACTTTTCTTAACGCTACGGCTCGCAGGGATCGTCTAACAGATTGATATTAATAAGGTTACCTACTTTACAAATTCACACATGTCTTGCCGTCGGAATACCAATTTCCTAACCACTTGGCCACGAACCCACTTGCTACCCATGCCTATATATATATATATATATATATATATATATATATATATATATATATATATATATATATATCTGTATGTGTGTCTACGAGAGTGTTTTGGGACCTTATAAGTTGGTTGTCGTAAATAACATTAATGACTTAAGCTTATCATTTTCTGGATTAAGATTTGAAAATAGCCTGTCCTTCTCTATCTTTGCTTGTTTTATCTGTACCAGATGTGTTTGCTATTGGATTTTAATTAAGGAACCTATGATGTATATACAGGTATACATATATTCATATAAAAAAAAAACATAATAAATACATAAAATAAAATAAAAGAATTTAGGATATGTACATATGTGTGTGTATGTGTGTTATGTGTTCATAGGTATATATGGATAATCATGTAGGTACATATATGTACAAATATGAAAAATAAAAAAAGGCTCTAATACATGTACATGCCTGGATGGATGGATGTATAATATAGGCACACGTATGTAAGAATGTATACATGTATATATGTATGTATGTACTGCGTGCGTATGTGTATGTATATATGTGTGTGTGCATGTCTGTGTATGTTGGTGTATTTGTGTATACAAAAGGGTACCTCAAGGCAGCCTGATTCTCTATAAGTTCCAAGCCAGGAAGTGATTTAGTTGGCTTAATTAATGTGATTTAAGACGACCAACTTATTATTCTCAGAGATCTCAACACACTCTCCCAACACATGGTTTTGTCTTTCTCCTATCTAAACTGATGACGCCAAAGAGAATATAAGCTTTCTCCGGCGAAACGCGTCTTTGATACATATTTCCTACTTTGTCTCATCCTGTTTACATTTGTTTCAGATACTAATCAACATCCCCATCATTTTATATATATATATATATATATATATATATATATGAAAAAAAAAAATAAAAAAAAAACAAAATTCTGAATATGCATTATTAATGTTAAAATAAAGTCGACGTCGGACGTTTCGGTCTATTTAAGACCATCTTCATGGACATTTTCATTTAAATTATGTTTAAATGAAAATGTATAACAATTTAACACAAAAATAGACATAAGAAATTTTCTAACGTTAACTTTAATTTTAACATTAATAATGCATATTCAGAAAAAATTTTTTTCTGTATTTTTATTTTTTCATATGTCGGATTTATATCCATATATTTGCTTAAATATATATATATATATATATATATATATATATATATATATATATATATACACACACACACACACACACACACACATATATATATATATATATATATATATATATATATATATATATATATATATATATATGGGAAAATGGAAAAAGTAACAAAATGGACAAGAAAGTATTATGTTGTGTATGCAATAATAATAATAATAATAATAATAATAATAAAAACTCTATTTTTGTTATGGTAATTTACCCACGTACGCATGGACTCTCTCAGCTATAAATAGGAGCAGGTACTGCCTTTTGGTGAGGGAAGTTTCCAGCAATCAGCTTTGAGAGTCGGACCGAACATTCTTGTTATAACACTCTCGTTTGTATATGTTTGTATTACTGTTTCTGTTAATATATTTGTTTAATTCAAATTAAATCCTCTCTTTTGTCTTGTGTCTAACAAGGCTACAACAATTTATATAATTTAGATGATTAACACCCTAAATTCTCTCACTTCAAACCGATTTTTTTTTCTAGATTTCTTTGAATCTCTTTTTATTTATTCATCAACACATTATATTATGGGATATTATTGTTGATAAGTTTTTGTTTTATGTTGCATAATACTTTATACAATAATGTTTCCGGAGAAGAAAATTTTCGCACGATTAATCATGGTTTTTCTAACACCTATTTTACATCTACGAGGTCACTCGCTTTTATTATTGAGAAGACAGGAATTTTTGCTTACATTTTTATATATATTGAAGTGATAAAAACCTTACTATTATCGTCTACTAGAAGAAAAGAAAACTATTATTAATGCCCGATGTATTGACATTTTTAGAGTGACGAAAAACTTAAAAAAAATACAAAAAAAAAAAAAAAAATCTTAAAGAAACCTTTGGAAATAACTCAACAATTCAATGATGAACACAAGATTAATAATGGAATCCCTTTACTAGACTTTCTAGTAGATGCTAATAATGATGTGTTTATCGCTTCAGTATAACAAAATACACTTTAAAACAAAAAAATTTCGTGTCATCTCAATTCTAAAAGCGAATGTCCTCACAGATATATATATATATATATATATATATATATATATATATATATATATATATATATATATATAAATATAAAAGTGTCATAAAAACATGACTGACAGTGAGAAAATGATTTCCTCTTTGGACATATTATTTTATACAGAAATTAAACATTAACAAACACTTATCAATAATAATTTTAAACCATGTTGCCCTTACTTATATATATATATATATATATATATATATATATATATATATATATATATATAGGCATATGTATTTCGGCAGGAATAATTATATCAAACATGTTTGTGTTACCGGTAATTTTTTCTAAAATTTACATTAACTTTTATTTTCTATTATCTTCTTCCCGGGTAATTTTAAATGTTACTCAATTTGTTTTCAAAGATTCTTTTATACTTTCAATTTATAATCATCAATTAATAATTTTCAATTTTTCTTTTATAATTTCAAATGTTACTCTCTTGTTTTTCGTTTGTAGTTATGCAACCTATTTTTGATGAAACCACTCTCGAGTCATTCAAGATGAAGTAATATAAACTTTCAAACTGTTATTTTATGTCTGCGTGTGTGTTTATATTAAACACACTTCAATATCACAATCTAATATATATATATATATATATATATATATATATATATATATATATATATATGCAGTATTTTGAGAGAAAATGTTCTTTAAGGCAATTACTGTTGAAAACGGCAGACATTTTATATCGATTAATTTTTGCGATCTTCTTTTAGAAATTATGAATAATCCTTTTCAACCAAAGAGGGCATTCTTTATATATATATATATATATATTAAAATTTTATTAACCTCACAAATTTATCTTTAACAACCCTGATGATGTCTTAAGGTAGTCGCAAGCTCGGGCCATATTACTTTTACTTTTTCTCCCGAAATAAACTTTGGATAATTCTCTGCAGAATTTCCTTCTTGCTTGAGAAGGATTATTCGTAATTTCGAAATGAGACTGAAGACGTTTTAAAATGGTGGAAAGATATTTAGGAGGGGAAAGTGCACTTTGAAGAAAGCAGGTGTAGTCACGCAAAGACAAAAAGGGTGTCACGAATGAGACAATACACTATGTGTAGGTGATATTTGCAGCCATATTTGCCTCTTTCCTGTTGGCCTTGACCAGCTCTATGTATAGAGATACACTAAAACTTCCATCTGACCACAGGCAACGAATTACTACAGATTTATCCAGCGCAATTTGCTTTAAGCTATGAAGAAAGTTCTATATAAGTGCTCAATCCAACAAGCAATCAAAATATGATATCTTTTCTGGAAACAGCGAACAACCATTGCAGGTCTTAAGGAGTCATTGTAGGTCAAACTATCAAGTGTAGATATTTCCCAAATAGTGTCTACTTTTTTAAAATTAAATATTGTAATATCTAACATAAAAATTCATATTGATATTTAGTAGCATAAAATTTCAATTTGTCCTTAGTAATTTGATTTGTCTATAGTTTTAATAAAATAAATGTATTTTGTGACGCACATGTACGATTTAGTGTTAAATTGCTGTAACAGTGTAAATTTTCAATGAAGTAATTTTTGTGGCTTATATGATAGTGTGTTAGTAATATCCTTAATCGATGGACAAGTCAACAGCCACCATATACATAGAAAG